AAAATTCGAATATTGGTTCGATTATAGAACGATTGTAAACGTTCCAGAAACGTTGAAAAGAGTTCGTTTGACTGGACGTGAACAGGAGACGTTCAGAAATAGAATCGGGACCAGGTCTCTCATTAGTCTGGAAACGGGGGACTTAATTCTTGCATTCTGTGAAAACAGGTAAGATTGGCTATAATGTAATTATCTTAATCTTCACTATCATTACTTTTTAAAAACCCAGCGAAGCGGGTCCTTGCAGCTAGATTCTAGATTACTTAGAAAAACAGTGTTTTATATATATATAAAAAAACTATATTACATACAAATAAAAACCCAGCGAAGCAGGTCCTTACAGCTAGTAGAATATAAAATCAAACACAAAACAGAACGTAAATACAAAAATAAAAATATAAATAACGGAAATGGAGATGCGATGGATAAAATAAACAAACTATATAATTTAATATAATTTTAATTCTGCATAATTTGATCAATCCGCATCACATCAAATTAGTGGCCTTTAGATCCTGTATAAAAAGAGCTTACACACATTGTACAAACATAAAAGACACAATAACGGAGCCAAACAATATTTTAAGGCTTGCAGAACAACAGGGATACCGAAAGGAAATCATAGAGAAATTAATCACAACCTTCCAAACAACTAAACAACGGCATGTTATGGTGGACCGAAGATAAAGGATAGTTTTAAATTATGTCCCGTTTTTAAGACAAATACATAAAAAAAATGGCCAAGGCTAATAATTTCCGGGTGATATATTGACGCAATCCAACGGTTTTCAAGCTCTTAAGACTGGAAATCAGCATCAGGGATCTATTCTATACCATTACATGATCAGCATTTTAATTCTCATCTTATCTATGTGGGCACAATAATGCGCAACTTGCAGCAACATATCAAAGAGAATACATATATGATTAATACGAACTGTGACAACACTATACTATCAGCGCACGAGACATTCAAGTTCATTGGGATTGGGTGGAACTAATTAAACCTACAACAAATTTACATACAATGAAATATTTGGAGAAGTTAGAGATCTTTAAAGTGCATAAGACAACTGGTTGCATCAATCATTGAGATGAGGATGCTTTACCAACTGCATGGTGATCATTTTACAAAAGTTAATGATATTAAGAGATTTTGTTTGTTTTATTTTTTATTAAGGGTCATTTTCAGCTTAATTTATATTATTTCTGTGTTCGTTTATTTTATCCACCGCATCTACATTTCTGTTATTTATATTTTTATTTAGTATTTACGTTCTTTTTTTGTGTTCGATTTTATATTCTATTGTATGTTAATTGAAGAAGATCGTCAAGAAACAGTCGAAAACATCTTTATATTATTAATATTTATTTGCTGGATTATTAAAGATGTGTTTTATTCATAGTATATTTACCCAGTTTAGTTCGTTATATATAATTATACTGATGGCTACACCGGCCAAACAGTATAAGAAACTGACCCTTAAATTTGATTTTCTAAGTCAATGCCATCTTAACGGTGCCTATACAATGTCTATTTATCACATATTACCCTTGGGGTATAATTCACTAATCCCAAAATTGAGACAGCTGTGCCTCAGAAAAGCTATCAGGAATACAAGACGCCAAACGTACACTCTTTTGTACAAGCTGATAAAAATGGAGAACTACTTTATGAACAGGACCCACAACTCCTAGCAATCGTGAATAAAAGTGTTGTTAATTTGACACAAAATGTCAAAAGAAATTTAAAATGCAATTACATCAAGAAATTAAGATGGATATTCTGAATGCAGAATATTAAACCAAACAAAAGCAGAAACACCCATATCACGGCATGGGATAACATCGTACCCCAACAATGCATTTTTGTAAGCATTAGATTATGGTCCTCTTTATGCTCTGCCCCCTTTGCCAATGCCAGAGACCTTCATACCAGATACTGAATTGATCATTAAAGGCATGAACAAAACAAGTCAGAATTTTGTTCGTTGGAAAATCAAATTCCGAATGACAAAGGAAGTAAAAAGCAATGTGTCAAACACACGACAATTTCAGAACATCATAAAGAAATCATGCCAATGGTTACAACAAAATTGCATAGTCCTGACGAAGGCTGACAAATCAAAAGGAGAGTGGTATTGCTAAAACAATCAACCTACAATGAGAAATTACGTGAATATATTCCAAGCATTAAGTTTGATTAGATATTAAAATATATTTTACAATTAATGTAGAATTTAAACAAGTTTTTGTTTTAAAGTAATAAAATAATGCTATTTTGAAACTATACAAAATACAAACTATGTGAACAACTGATAATTTACAAAACTTTTTACAAGATAGATACATTATATACTTAAGCATTAAATTTGTACAATACCTTTGAATTTTAGTTTCATGTTTGATAAAAATCAATGATGATATGCTATTTTACATATTTTACAGTGTTGAAATTTAAATATTTAAAGATTTATACACAATACTTATACCTATTCTTAGACCTGCATGAATAACAAACATCTGGTAGTGAATCTTTTCTTGGTAAGGTGCAGAGTATGTCCTTGAAACACACTTCAAGGAAAAAAAAACCAACAAAGAGGATTTGCATCTATCTTTAGAATGTGTGTGTATATATATATATATATAATATCTTAGCCATAGTTGTAATGTATCATCACTTAAAAGATGTTCACTAAAAACAGTCTAAAATAAGTTTCTTGTGTAATTCAATCTACTTTTGAAAGTAGGAAATATTGTAATAGGAGCAAACATTAAAAATGCTTGTATACTTTCAAGAGAAGGCAAGATAATACCAAATTCTTTAATACGTTTGAAATATATTCTAACATTGTTTGATCCATTCCTGGTACTTATGATCTATTTGAATAATAATATTTTGCACTTCAGTTTTAAAAGTATTTAAAACAATTTTAAATACACACCTAAATCTTCTCCAAACTTTTCTGAGACGGCGTAATCTGCCAGTTCCGGTCGTCTTCCTACGCTTTCCCTTCTCACTCCAATTATCTATTAAAAAAATAAAATTGTTTATATTTCTAATAAAATTATGCAGATTATAGTTTTCATTGAGTGACAATTGATTGTAGCTTGTATGGTCTCTCTTCCTGGTTATTACAACTACAGGAAGCTAGTGGAATATACAAACTTTCTGCCCTCACCACACTTGCCAATGCCAGAGACCTTCATACCAGATACTGANATATTATTAGAAATCTCTAAATTATGCAGATTATAGTTTTCATTGAATGACAATTGATTGTAGCTTGTATGGTCTCTCTTCCTGGTTATTACAACTACAGGAAGCTAGTGGAATATACAAACTTTCTGCCCTCACCACACTGCAAAACAGAATGGGGACAGGTTTAATATTCAACACTGTGGCAGAGAATGCACTGCATGTAGAGCAGCTCCAGGGCCACAAAGGCTGAATGGATAAATCCATTTTTGCCTCTAAGTGTTGGTAACAACTAACTACAGTCAAACATAAATATAGTGCTCTCCCTAAAAAGCATCAACAAATACTAATGAACAGAATATGAACACACAAATATTAAGTATAAAAAGAAATCTATGAATTACTAAATGTATGATTTTTCATTGCAAACACAACCGTTATCAGCAAATCACAACATTTCAAATCCTCAAACTCAATTGTGTTTATTAATAGATCTCAATTACTATATATATTTCTTATTGTTTAAGTTCTTCAATTTAGTGCCTGATTCAGAGGCAAACATACATACGGTATGTATGTATGTATGTATGTTTTGACTAAACATTCAGACCAATGACTCCTAACTAGATCATACTTAACTGGAAAAGTGAAAGGAAAACAATGCTGCCTGAGATTAAAATCGGTTTAATATTAAATTATTTGTTGTTGTTATTTAAAACTTATTACATTTAACTCTATTTTCTGTCAATATTTGTTAAAAGTTTCAAATCATGTATTACAAGTGTATTTCACCTCTAAATGTCTTACTTAATATAAAAAATTTTTAAATTAATAATCTCAAATCATGTCTTCACTTTTTTTGTTTTGTTTGTTTCCTCACTAATACCAAAAATGGATATTTATGTCACAATTAAAGATTTATTGATCTTAAATGAATAAAAATTAACTACAGTAGAGCATCAATTATCTGACCTCCGATTAACCGTCACATCGATTAAACGACCGTTCTAGTCCGCAAATTTCAAATGTCCGCTGGTGATGTGGTGCTACAATATTTGGCTATGTCTTGGCTACTTTATTATTATTTTTGTTAAATTTTTGCGTGTTTTAGCTGGCAACACGGCTCGACCATTGAAGGAAGGCCAGTACAGTAGACCCCCTATAAAACGGGTTCCTATAATTACGATTCCTATAAGACAGCAAAAAATTGCGACGGTATCCGTAAAAAACTCCTATAATTGCATAAAACGTCATTGGGCAGCCGAACTATTTTCCGCACCGTCAAGCGCCACGCTACGGAGAGATTACTATCGTCTTTACAGTGTTATATATAAATTAGGTACTGTACATATAATTATATATTAACTTAATTTATTGTAACTATTATAATTATATATATATTTTCCGCCGCCTGGCGCCACGCTACGGAGAGTTTAGGCGAACTATCATCTGTACAGTATGTAAATTAGGTACTGTAAGTCTAATACAGCACTGTAATTTTATACATTTCTTGTGAAAGAAACATTTCTTATTCAACGGCAATTAAAATTGTTTATATTAATGATGTCTCCAAAGTTCAGCGAAGTTTTCGCAGAGAAATAACATCAGAAATCGTGGCCGCAGTTTGCTGAGCTGTTCCGTGACGAAAACAAGCTTGAGCAATGGCGATGTCAAATGGTGCACACTCGGTAAGTAATCCTACAATTTTTTGTTTATAGCGTAGTTTATACGGATTATTTCCAAAAAAAATATACGTATTTTGGAAATGTTGAGTCGGATTAGTCTAGAATCGATTAACTTTATGGAAGAAAACCTTTCAAACAGCCGTAGTCTGTAAACTTGACACGTGTCGGGCTGTGATTGGAAGGACTCGTAAGAAATCGGATTCCTAAAGAATGGAACGTATCTACTGTCTTATAGGGGGGGTTGACTGTATTTAAACGAGACTTAATTTTCTAATTATGAGTGGTTGTTTGTTTTGTGGGTAATAAAATAATTTAAAAATAATTTTTAACAATACAATAGCTACGATTATTATTTTTTAAAAAATTTGTTAGGCTTAACATCGATGAAAATTCAACGCGAAGTTGATTAACAGCAATACACTAATATACTATTTACATAGGATATACTAATATACTATACTAATAATGTATTTTTTTCATTCTTTTCGGTTATCCGACCAACCTGAGTCCCCAATTGAGTCTGATAATCAATGCTCTACTGTAATAATAATGACAATTACTTAAATATAAAATTTAATACAAGCATAGTAAGTAAAATCTTCAAAAACCAAACAAGTGAGAACTTTTCTCTATTTTCCAATTGGAAAAATTAAAATTGTAATGGCAGTACCTTTTTTGAATTATTTTAGCAAATTTTGATACTTACAATGCCTCATCTTTCGATCAGGATAGCCACATTGAGCACATCTGGATTTCTGAATGTGGAAACTACTTCGCCCACAACGGCGGCACAGTGTGTGGGTCTTGTTGCGCCGCTTACCAAAACTTGATGTTCCCTTTGTCTAAAGATGACAATAATACTATTAGAGCAAAATTTGTGTATATCCTAATATAAATTACCATACATAATTATATAATCTTCACAAGCATATTTATTTCTAGTAAATTACAGACAAACTTAAATGAATTTGCTTGTATTTATAACCATTACTCACTAATTATAATATCAATTGATGATGAAATATGACTCATATTTTATGTAAACAACAGTTGTGTTAATAGATTACAGTGAAATAAAAAGTAGAACCAAAAGCATTAAACAAAACATTACATATTAAAAAATTACACTACGTCTACAATACATTTAACACCTACCAACACATTTTTCTCTCTTAAATTTGTATGTAGAATTAGGTGTCAAACTATAAATATGATCACTTCGTCGGCATTATAAATGTCTTCATCTTTAATATTTTGTGCATTCAATCCAGTCATTTACATTTTCTGGATCAACAGATCAACCTTCTTCACTTATTTTATCATACACGATGCTGTTTGTTTTTTAAAGCAAGCCAGCCACCCACTATTGCAAGTAAAATCTGTATACCCAAACACTCACATTTCTGCTCAAACTTTTAATATTGGTCCATCAATTAGAAACCTAACATTCCTTTGAACTCAAAACTATGTTACCAAGCTTCATCAACATCACCAAAAAGATATATCCCAAAAGGATGAGAGTCGGAGTCGATAAGTGTTGACATTTAAAAATTTGTGTGACAATGCCAAATGGCCTCCCTATACTTCGGCACCATGTGATCGAAGGGTCAACATTGCATCAGCGAAGATCGCAATGACAAGTTTCGTCAGGACCACTGTGTCTGTCCATAAAGACACTGATACCACTGTGTCTTTATGGACAGACACAGAAACAGTTAGGTTCGCACGTGAACGATTGAGTGTGTGAACGAACAGATTCAGGATGGAGGGAGAGACAGCGCACCAGAAGTGACTTACTCAGAGACGGGTTAATGTAACAACTATTTAAATGGGTAATTATTAGTGATGTAACGAATATTCGGTTACTATTCAGTATTCAGCCTATTTTTCACTATTTGGCCAAATACCGAATATTTAATCACTATTTGGCCAAATACAGAATATTTAATCACTATTCGGCTGAATACCGAATACCTAAAAACAGGAGTAAGAAATAACAAAAACACAGTAAATTAATCATTTTGATATTTAGATTTAATGTTGTTGGGCGAGTGTTGTTTGTTTATATTTATTTATAACTTTTAACATGCACAAAATAATATTAGTCACATGTATTCACAATTTATAATTACAAAGATCAACACACGTACACACCTATCGTTGGAGAATCCTCGCACATCTGACGGTCTGACCCTGCCTATCCTTTTTAAGCACTCGTCTTTTCTCTTTCCACTATCGCTCTAATCCATGTATGCTTATGCATACATCATAATACGCTCTCACAATACTTTTGATTCGTCACTTTTCCATCATAGAGTTCCCATTTTACAATTACACAACTCAGCCTGGTGATAACAGAAAAAAGAGACAGATAGGACGTCAATATAAGTCACAGTTATGATTTCACAGATTCAAGACAGCTTGGTAGCCCGAACTGCCCCAGGCTTTCGCCCGTGCACACTAAGTGACTTCATTACAAGCATTTAGCTTTCCAAGGTCTATGACAACAATTGTTTGGCATTGACGGCCACAAATTTTGTGCCAATAAGCTGCCTCGACTTGTTCGATTATGTTATCAACTCAATTTCATATTTATTTTCACATTTTCACTTTGCGGTCCTTCTCTGTTCTTTTTCCGTTATTTACATGTGTAGGTCATTTCATTGTTATCCACATTTGATATCATCATTTATCACATACTTCCATAACACTCTTGTCTGTCCACTACAACTGCCAAGAATTAACACAATTGGCGAAGCATAGCGACAGCGGGCCAATAGAGAGCAGAATCCTTGCCATAATGCGGTTTGTGTGCCAATTTTCGTACATGCATTAATCAAGCTGAATAGTTTGGCCGAATATTCAGCTATTCGGCCATGCTCCTGGCCGAATATTCGGTATTCAGCCTGAGGCCAAATATACTATTTGTTGCAACACTAGTAATTATAGGCCATACAACATTTCGATTTTAAATATGCTAGCTTTTAGATACATTTCTACGATTGATAGATATTAAATAAATATATTGGATGTTAACGTTTTTTGCGATTCCCAAGAGAGAGAGAGAGAGTTTACAGAAGTTGCACATGGCAATAAATACCTTTTTTGATATCTTGATTGAGATTCTCGAACGTTCTTTGTGAAAGAGAGAAATTTCATAATATCAGTTTGGGTATCCTGTAGAGGAAATATCCGTAAGCCTGATAGAATGTCAGATAGCCATAGAAAGCCAGATGTTTTTCTGCAAAGGTGTTAGACGATGGTTTCCGATGATATTTTAGTAGGATATAAAAACATAAAATAAAATAATATATTCACAGATATCCAAATATTGAGACACTTAGGACAAGGTACGGGTGACAACTTGACTCTTTCGAAGGATGGGCGACGACTGCGTCCCTTTGTTGTTCTGTTCTGATGTTGTAATGCTGAAATCGAGATATTAGGTCAAGAGGTAATGAGAAAGTATGGTTGTCAAGCCTGAGAACTTAACAGATGTTTTTCTCCCAGGTGTGAAAGTTGACAGTTATTTATTAAGTTTATAGTTACGATGTGACGTTATGAACAAATGATGTAAACACACAGAAAGTCTGGATTCGGATCCTCACATTTGTAAATACCATCAATGCTGTTATTTTGACTTTTTAAATAATACAAAATACACGTTACTGCACTGCCTCCTACCCAAGTTGGTGTCAAACAATTATTTTCAGCTCTGCACTTAATCAAATCTCACTTATGTGCTTACTTGAAAGAGGGCATGATGGAGGATATCATTTTTTTAGAGAACAAATTCTCTTTAATTAAATTTCACTCAATCACTTTAGTGTTAAATTTTTTACCTAAGTATTTACAGTAGAGCATTGTTTATCCGAAAGAATTCCAGTCAGCAAATTTAAATTTTCGCTAGTGCTGTGGCGCTGCAATCTTTGGCTATATCTTGGACTACTGCTATATTGTTTTTTTGTTGATGTGTGTGTTTTAGCTGGCAGCACTGTGTGGTGTTTTTCTGAGGACTGTGTCATGCTGAATCAAACGTTTTTGATACTAGATTAACTTCTAAAGTATAATTTTTTTTGTTTTTATATTTTTCAATATATTTATTTTGTTTGTAAAAAATAAAGAAATAATTTTTAACGAAACAATAGACACGATTATTATTTTAAAAAGTTTACGTTAAACTTAACATCGACGAAAATTCAATGCAAAGCGACACGCAACGGAGAAAAATTTCAACATGGGACAGGTTAATATATTTTTTCGTACATAATCAGTTATCTGAAAAATAAATTATCCGAACAACTCCAGTCCCCAATTGATTCGGATAAACGATGCTGTACTGTATATCATTACATTAAATATGAATGTATTATCTATATATATAAAAATGAATGTATGTGTGTCTGTCCTTCATGCATTACCACACCGTTTATCCGATTGCCATGAAACTTTGGGAAGTTGTTTAATATACTCCAGCGAAGGTTTGTGGCATAGTACGATTGCCATGAAACTTTGGAAAGTTTTTTAATTTTTTAACACACTCCCGCAAAGTACATTTATCCTACGATAGATGGCGCGCGTTTACACGAGTATTCGAGTAGTGTGTTCGATCCATTTTAAATTGTGAAGACCATTTTTCCCTTTCAAAAAATATCTCTATATATGCATTTGTTATTTACGATATTTGTAATAATTTTTGTTTAATCACTTTATTTCAACTTTTTTTTGCTAATTATGTATTCGCTCGAACTTCGTTAAAACCTTAACTGTACCCCGAACAACAACCGAAGTTGTAGGAAGAAATTCACGTATTTTACCGATCTAGGTATCCCCCCTTTTC